CGGTGGTTTTTGCAAACATATACTACTTTATCATTGTCTTTGTCTTACTCACTATAATCAATAAGGAAACCTTGTAATGTCATTTTCATTGAAATTAAACTAAAAACAAGTTTCCTATGATTTATTTGGGGAATTTTAATTATTATAATCATTATTAATTAATTATTAAATTGAATTTTACCCTTTTAAAATGGTATTTTTGTTTTCCGAAATGAGATGTGGCAACGTTGCTTTTAGTTGGCCATTTTGAAGTGACGCCTTGTAATTTTTTGCCAGTTTTTCGTCGAATTTTTCACTTTTCCGGCGCTTTTCAATGGAAAAAGGCAATTTAACATACGAGGCTTTAAGTTTTCTTCATTTTCTAGCAAAAATGTCCAGTTTTAAAATGACATAAATAACAAAATCCCATTTAAAATGGTTTTTTTGGAAGTTTTGATGTGGCAACACCGTTTGTACCAACTTTAAATAGGTTTTGTAATAAATGTCATTTGCCAGTTTTGACAATCGGCAATTTTTAATTGACGTGTTTACATTTCTATCCAGTTTTTCCTCGAATGTTCCGCTTTTCCAAGCCGCTTTCAGTCAAGAAAACCGATTTGAAATAAGAGGCTTTGAATTTCCTACATTTTGTGCTAAAAATTCCCAGTTTTCCAATGGGGTAAGTGACAAAAACTCAAATTTCATTAAGTAGGCTTTGGAATGTCATTTTTAGAGGTTTTTCTTTGAATTTGTCCGCTTTTCCAGGGCTTTTCTGGTCGAAAAAACCGATTTAAAGTACGAGACTTTGAGTTTTCTTCATTTTCCACCAAAAATTTCCAGTGTTTTAACGGAGTAAGTGAGAAAAACTTTAGTTTTATCAAGTAGGTTTTGGAATGTCATTTTCGTTGTTTTTTTTTTTGGAATTTTTATTTAAGGTTTTTGGGGTCCGGGGATCGTTTTCCATCACTTTTTTTCTCGAAATTCGCAAAATAAAAAAAAAAACTTTATTGACGTTGACAGCTGTCAATTTTTTTTTACACAAATCGATAGTTAGCGTCGCGAAACTGCCTTGTTCGCGATTTTCGTAGCTTTTATAGTAGAGCGGGAAAAAAGTCGAACATGTGTCAAATTTGACAGGTGACATTTATCGATATTGCCAAAGTCTCGTGCGACAAAAGTTTTATCCGAACGAACCCGTTCATTGTTAACTGATTTTTCATACTCCTGCCCTTCGGGCCGTAATGTTTGAAACAAAAAGACGTCATTTTGTATCGATTGTCAAAAAAACCCAAAGTTTGAAATTTCAATTTTTTGACGTTTGTTCTATCATGAGCAGTGTTGCTATATGTTTTTCTTTCAAATTTCGAGCTCGAAGGGCCGAAAATATAGATTATTTTAAAGCCAATCAAGAGCCGGGAATAAACAAAATTCGAATCCCCAAACCAATCAGGAGCCGGGAAAATTAAAAAATTCGAATTTCAAACCCGACGGGAAATTGAATTTTTTATACCAACTGTTGCTACATGTTGTTACATAAATCTCACCCTAAAACCTACTAAAAAACGACCTTTGTTTTTAGGAAGAAACAAAAGATTTTTTTTTTTTTAAGATTGACAGCTGTCAAAATTTTAATGGGCATATAGATTTAGCCTCGGCGAATACGTATTGTTTGCCCAGCGGATCTGAGTCTACGGAAGGAATTCGGACATAAATGTGCCATGTTGCCACGTTTAATTATAAAAAAGCGAAAATACTAGGCATGAGGTATAGTTAATTTGAAAATTTTTTGATAACAAAATATTGATAACAATAATAAAACGCTAAATAACGTGGTTGTTAGACTTATCCTTATTTTAATCCTGATTTATTCAGTTTGGTCTATTGTAAAAAATAAGCATTTTCTAAAGATACCATTTTTTTGACATTGATAGTAATCAAAATTTAAAAAAAAAAATCCACATGGGCATATAGATTTAGCCACGGCGAATACGTAAAAAGTAGTCAAACACGACGTTTGTTGTATTATAAGCAGTGTTGCCATTTGTTTTTTTTTTTCGAATCTGGATTCTGGAAGGCTGAAGTTATCTCAATTATGAGCTCGAAGGACCGAGGTTATACAAGTCCGAAGGGCCGGAATCATGCGAACCCGAAGGGCCGGAGTTATACGAGCCCGACAGGCCGGAGTTATTTTAATCATGAGCCCGAAGGTCCGAGGTTATACGAGCCCGAATGGCCGGAATTATACGAACCCGTTCATTGTCAACTGATTTTAATACATCGGCTCTTCGGATCGTAATCTTTGAAACAAAAAGACGCCATTTTATATCAACTGTCAAAAAAAAACTAAGGCCTACTTTGATATTTCAATTTTTTGACGTTTGTTGTATCATGAGCAGCGTTGCCATATGTTTTTATGAAATCTCGATTTACAGGTTATTTTAAACCCAATCATTGACATTTCTGAAAAATATTTCCTTTAAAATTTTCAAATATCCTTTGGAATCCCCAAAAATCTATTAAAATCTCAGAATTTCATAATTTAGTGGAATTTCGGTAGAATAATTATGTTATTTTGGAAAAGGAATTAGATGTGAAATTTTTGCGGAGTTTCCATAGAATTCACATTAAATTTTAATTCCTCTCAAATTACTTGAAATTTCAGTGAAATTCCGGTCGAATTACACGAAATCCTAAATAAATCACATGGAGGAATTTTAAACAATTACATGAAATTACACCTAAATTCCCAACATGAAATTTCAGTTTTTACTGAATTTTAGTAATGCCGAGGAATTTCCAGCTAAAAACATGGAATTTTGGTGATATTTCAATATATTTCGATGAATTTTTAAGAAATTCAATCTTCTATTCCTAAGGTCTTTGACAGTTTGATGTATAGTCATTTAGCCTGGCAATGTAAGGAATTTATTATGGATGAGCAACATGGCTTTAGGGGGGGTCGGTCCACACTGACTAACTTGCTCATTTACCACAGTAAACTGCCGGATGCCTTGGAGAGGGGGTATTAGGTGGATGCTGTGTATACCGACTTCTCCAAGGCATTTGACAGAGTCAACCATGAGTTGCTCATTAAGAAGTTAACTAATTTGGGTTTTTCTGAAAGATTGGGTAAATGGTTACTTGGCTTTCTCGGGGGCAGATTAAAATTGGTAATTTTCATTCTAAGATTATTAAAGTCAGTTCCGGCGTACCCCAAGGGGGGCACAGCTCCTCTTTGCTATTTAGTTTGTTTGTTAATGACCTAAAAGAACACCTAAATAACTGCGAGTTTTTGATGTTTGCGGACGACCTTAAGTTATTTTCGATTATTGTTAGCGAGCTTGATGTTGGCCTTCTGCAAGGGGATTTGGATAGAGTGGTGCAAGAAGAACTTACTAGATTTAAATAAATATAGACAAATGTTTTCAGATTACATTTGGTAGAAAGAAAAATAAAATCCAATCTTCTTACCTATTGAATGGCCAACAGCTTAAGGTTAATGATGTGGCTAAGAATTTGGGAATATTGTTCGATTCTAGCTTAGATTTTACTGATCATATGAATCATCTGATTGTGAAGGCTAATAGAATGTTGGGCTTTACACTCAGAAATTGTGGCGATTTATCACTGGATGCGGTGAGATCTGTGTATTGTGGGCTAGTTAGATCTCAACTTGAATATGGTTCAGTTATATGGACACCTCACTATAACATTTATAAGACTATGTTGGAAAGTACTCATAAATTTTTGAGATATTGCAATTACAAATTTAATTTAGGACTGATTGCTAACCATGACTATACTGATATTTTAAAACAACACTTCAGATTGCTTCCGTTGGAGAAGAGAAAGATTATGTTTGATGTTTGTATGATATTCAAACTGCTGAATGGGGTTATTTCATGTCCTTATTTACTTTCTCAAGTTAATTTTGCTGTTCCTCAAAGATTGTTAAGACAAAATAATTTATTTCTTATTGGGTTTCACAGAACTAATTATGGGAAGCATTCTTTTATGGATAGAAATCTTGATTTTTTGAATGGGGAGGATAGGCTAGATATTTTTAATGATTCTTTTCAGTCTTTTAAAAAGAAATTGATGAGGCTGTTATAAATGACTGTTATTTAATTTCATAGGATTATGGAGTATTATTTTTATTTTTAGTAGTTAGTGTTAAGCAATATTGAAATTGTTATTTTGTAATGGGGTTTTCCCATATAGTAAAAATTACTTGAAACTTCATTAATATTCCCAGAAATTCCTGGTTATTAAAAGAGCATTTCAGTGAAATTCCGAAAAATTCTTATGAAAATAAATTAATAAATTAAATTTTGAAAATTCCTTGTAGTTTCATTGGACTTTCGAGAAATTTTCGGTTATGAACGTGGATATTCTCATAAAATTTTAGTGAATTCCGTGAAATTTTTAAGAAATTACATGAAATTTCAATGAAATTCCAAAGAATTTTATGAAAATTTTGTGGAATTCCAGGATATTTCAGTGGTGAGGAATTTTATTAAAGTTAAAAAAAAAAATATGGAATTTTGAAATTGAAATCTTAGTGGAATTCCGAGGAATTTCATGAAATCCTATACTGTAATTAGCCTCCTCACTTGAAATAGTCACGAGCTGCCACTGTCTAAGTGTGAAAGGAATACAACTATCAATCGGAAGTACAAATAGGTACATAACAAAAAAAGTAATTCAAGTAAAATACTTTAAAGTATTTTTATGTACTTGAAGTAGAATTTCAAGTAATTTACTTTAAATATTGGTGGCTCTGATGCCAACTAATTTTTATAGAGAATTTGTTAATTTTGGTTGCATTAAAGTGTGTTACACCCTTGATTTTCACCGGCTGGACGATTTTTTAAGGCAAATCAAGTGCCCGTTACCCTGAAACTTTGATGAACTTTTCGAAAAAAGATTGTCGAGCAAATCGAGAGCAAAATTTGAACAATTTTCCACCCTTTATTAACATTTTTTAACTTTATTTCTGTGTAACAAGTATAAAAACTAACCTGCTCCAATTGATGTCCGACAAGCGCCTGCAACAAAGTAGAGAAATTTCGGACCAGTTTTGGCAAATCCCCGATGCCTTCGTCTTCCATTATTTTACTCAAAAACAATATCAAATTAATATACAAACAAATAAATAAATTACAAACAAATTCCAAACTACATTAACATTTGAGGTTAGAAATTTCAAAATATTTACATTTATTTGACAGGATGAGAATGTCACTTCAAAAAGGCGTTTTCTCGCGGGGCGAATGGTTCGAACTACGGTTTAAACCAATTTGTAGATGACGTCATCACTTATAAATGCGAGTAAAAAGAAGGTTTGATCGGAGAGCCATAAGTGTTCGAACTTTCTTGAAAGGTTCGTTTTGACTTGTGAGGTCACTGGTTCATCGTAAGAATGTTCAGGTTCGAACCTAATTGAACCGGATCGAGATCGAACCAGGGCTGGGATCACAACTTTCATGACGTCACTCGCGATTTATTTAACGCGTACAGTTCAGGCGATGATGATGGTGTCATGAAAGTAGAATTCTACTTGTCGTAATCCTAGCCCAGTTCCACCGCAAGAAAACACCTTAGTTTACTTTTCTGTCAATCCGATGCCGATAATCCGAATGTATTCCTATTAAATGGTCCAAAATATATCTCAAATCCCCCGTGCCATGCCAAAGTACCAGTGATGACGTAGGCAGCGTGTCGTTTCTCGTCTTCACGTAGGGTGTTTGCACTACAGGTTATGATTCCGCGGGCTTTTGCTTTATGCAAACTTGGTTTTACTACATTAATTAACAATATAAAACAACTCTTTTTCATATCTCGTTTGCATCTTCCTCTTCGCCTATAATCGAACAAAATTAATTAACATTTTTCATCAGCTTTGTTTTGGTTCGTAAATACGGAACGATTCTAGATTCTAGAATCAAGCAGAACTAAGGCGTTTTCTCGCGGGGCGAATGGTTCGAACTACGATTTAAAGCAATTTGTAGATGACGTCATCACTTGTGAACGCGAGAAAATGAAAGGTTTAAGGGCGAGAACCCACGGGCGTAATTGACGTAAGCGTAACATGAGCGTAACTAATCATGTGATTTAATTTGTACGATTTCATTGGCGGCAATGCAGCCATCTTGAATATTTGACATTACGCTGCCGCTACGGCAAAAAGTTGGGTTTTGTTGAACTTTTTGGCGTAATCGTGGCAAATTTGTGACGTAATGTATGAGGTGAGTTCAGCTTGGCAGAACGGAGTTGGAGCGGATAAAGAGCAGTTTCATAGTAACCTGAACACAGAGCGAAAAGAGTAAAATGGGTAGTCGAACGCATTAGGAGCAAGGCGAGCTGCGGCTAATGAAGAAATGCCACGGCCCCCGAATGCTTATTCCCATCACAAATTGGAACATGTTTTTCTGCGGATATTTTGGGGAGCGATGCCATTTTTTCTACCAGGATCCCCAGGGGCAACCAAGCTCTAAGCAAAAAAAAATCTTTTCTGAATTCTTTAGATTAGGATCGTTAGGATAGTGAATTATTAAAAACCTAAATTTTACCGCCTTTTCGGAATATAGGAAGTGCGCATGCTCGCTTCTCGAGCTTCAACTCGCGAGGTGGAGCTTATGGATATGGAGTTAATTATTTTCACTCTACTTGGCTGTACAAAAACGATCCAGTATTTGCTCCCAGTGGCCTGACCTGACCCGAACGATTTTGCAGTGAAAAGTGTCAAAGGAGTCAAAAGTGTTGCCCAGCCGAACTCACCTACTCACCTATGATAGAACAATCACAGAAAATAAAAGGAGAAGGACTACAACAACAAATAAGTAAATTTACATTACAACCTGGCAAAAAATAAACAAGATGTTTGTGTTAGAAAATGTTTTTGTTGTGGTTTTGATGCACTACATGCGGGACGTTAAGCCAAAATTCACGTAGAATTGACGTTTACGTCGATTGCGCTAACTACGCTCGTGGGGATTCGCCCTTAACCACAGTATTATGTCAACGGAGAACAAGCCATGTGTCCGGTGCGAACTTTTTTGAACCAGGTTCAATGTGACGTCACTGGTTCAACGCAAAAATGTACAGGTTCGAACCTAATTGATCCGGGTCGAACCAATTCCACCGCGAGAAAACAGCTCTAGTTGCGTACTCGCATCAATCTCAGAACCGTTCGGAATCAATTCGTGAAGGGGTGAAACTGTGCTTTTGCGTTTCAAACACAGAACACTGTGCTGCACCGTGTATAAAGACAAAATGTCAGCTGGAAAACTGCTTTGATTACTAGGCTGAAAATTGGTATTAAAAAAATAATAATAGTTTTACTAGTATAAATGGGTTGATCCGCTTGATATTCATAATTTTCCAAAACCAAAATAAAGCTTTTGTGCTCAAAAATATCCAAAATACCCGCGAACCGTCAGAATAATTACAGAACAGTTCCGAACTGCGTAGTGCAGAAACTAAAACAGAGAATCGAAAATTGGCAATTGATTCCGGAAAAACCAAAACGCAAAAAACTTTTTACGCCTGTGCGAACTGTCTCAAAACGATTTTCTACACGACCTAAAACAAACCTATCATAAATTTAAAAACAACCGTTTGCGCAAACAACTAACGACTTAGTTAATGACGTTGGTAATGGTGCTACACATGACCGTGACTACCAAAAACGAGGCCGATAAGCAATCCTTGTGTGTATTATCCTTGGCCATAAGAGTATTCAAGTCATTATAAAACATTTTTTTTTAGATTAGTGATAACTGTGACAAGGGTTTCAGGGACTTTTTTTTCGATCTGCGTTCGGCTTACGATCTTGTTCAGAGCGCACTTTGCGTATGACTCCACGATATCCATGCTCATAGGGTTCCGCTCCGTGGAGTGCAAAGCCGAATTCAGCCAGAGTAGTACTCACGGAATCTTGAAGCGTATTTCCTCGCTGATTGGGACGTGTCACTCTATGCGAATATCAAAAATAGAGCGTTCTGTTTGAGAGTAGCTCCGAACAAATAGTTCCCAAACTTGGGACTCTCAAAAAGTGTTTAATGTTCCATGTTCGACATTCACCCAATAAAATCACAAGCAAGAACGATTCGAACAGTGTGAGAGTCTCTCGGAGTCACTATGCGACCGCAACTGTTACTCTATTTACTCTAAAAATATCCTGTCCTGAAATGGAACTTCCGGAGTGAGCTCTATTTACTATTTATTCGACTCTGTATGGCCGAAAGTGAATGAAGCGACTCTATTTTCAGTTCTTAATTTGATAAGGAACGATCAGAGTGCCATAGGGAAGTATTTAGAGTGAGCGAAATCAATCAAAATTTGCTCTTTTTGCTCGCAGGTGCAATTACCGAACGCAGTTATCATAATCGGGTGGTGGCGGAGAGTTATGGGTAATCTTTTCCTGTACTGGTTCATAACTTGGAGTACTCCCAAATTAGTTCTTAACTGGTTCGGAATGTGATCCGCGAACGTAGCTGTTGTGTGATAATTTTCACGTGACAGCTGTTATCACTACTCATCAGCTGATGAGGAGGGGTTACGTCAAACAACAAATCACAAGACTAGACCGAAAAAATCTGCAAATTAAATTCTTGCAGTTTTGAGTTCCGAGAGTGATTTTCAAGTGAAAAAGTGTTGAAATCATGTCGGGAAATTTAGCAGGGGCGCCCCCAAAAATCAAGGAAATGATGACGTCGCTGGACGACGATAAAATCGGTAAGTATTTTTTGATTTTTTTCGCCCCACAATTTGTGTTGTTTGCTTGATTCTGGGGCTGGTTTTAGTTAATTTGGATTGAATTTTTTTGTTGGAGGGTTGACAAGGGTTGACTTTAGTGCACTCGATTTTCTAAAGCTGGTTTTTTGAGGGCGTTTGGCCTTTTTCTGTAGAAAACATGAAAATAGGTAGGTGTGTGAGGAATAACATCACGTGATTGTGACCTAATAAATAAGACGAGATGGTGTCTTTAAATAATAAGGCATATTTTAATTTGATTTGATAATTCTATAATATAGCTTTATAAATAAATTTCAGTTTCTCTTCATTTTATCTTAAATTTTAAATATTAAGGTCCAAAGTTTTGTATTTTCATTGATTACATTTATAACGTGCCGTTTTGATGCGATCGAGTCGATCCGATGTAGCTACTGCATTTTCTTGAAAATCGCTTTATTATCAAAACTTGCAAATCCGATCAAAAATGGATCGCGAGTGTTTATAATACCGAACAATTCGAGTACTCCGAACAGAGGGGTCTGAACAAAGTCAGAGCATCTTGAATAATGTCAGTGCAGTTTGAACAAAGTCAGTGCAATTTGAATAGAGTCCGTGCAGACTGAACAGAAGGCAATTTTTCGTGAAGATAATGCTTTATCTTTTGCTAGATTATGTGATGTGTCAATAGGCTCCTTGCATCAAATTTTTTTATTGCTGATTTCGATAGTCCATGAAAAATAAGTCGACACGTGTTTTTTCTTTTTCTTCTTAGTCAAAAATTGACGGAGATACAACACTATGAAATCTGCCTATGACGTCATTTGTGTAATAAATTAGTGACGTTCCACATGCTCAGTATATCTATATATACAAAACTTAATATTTGAATAACTTCCGGAATAATCATATTTGGACAAAATAAAAAAACACGCATCGATTTTTTTTCGATTTCCTACAGTCTGCAATACAAAATAATCAATTTAATTTTTCATGCAAGTACCCTATTGTGTCATACTCGCCTAACTCTCCCACCATCAAATTCTGGTATAGTCGAGGATCAAGAATACTTAATTTCTTCTGTGAGAACAGACTACAAATTACCAAGCAAATTACCTTTTCTTCATTTCGAATCGACGAAAAAACTAACTCACTAGCACAGCCTGAATCGCAAGCATTCCATCGAGGTCTGCGGGTGACGTCATCACTATAAGCTGCTTATAGTGACGTCACTAGCAGGCCCAGAATTTGATGGAGAACCGGCGAGGGAGTTAGGGGAGTATGACACAATACACAATTGATACATCACATGACCCAATCCTCGCGTAAAATTGTCCAGAGTCAAACAGCATTGACAGTTCAAAATACCCTGACTGTTCAAACATCAACTGCACCAACTGAGAAATTTGTGCAACTAGTGCAGTTAGAAATTATTTAATTGAATCAATTTATACAAATAGAGTAGTTTTAACAGTTATACTCGGAATTAGGCTCATTTGTAGTTACAACAGGGGCAGAAAAATATAAAGGATGATTAATCCTTATAAAACGAACAATGCTTTAGGCAACCACTTTTTTCAAAAATTTGTTTGTCTCCACTGTTATAGAGCAGTTCGAACAAATGGAGCAGTTTGAAAAATTGTGTTGAAAATTTAATTTTTGTAATAAAAAAAAAATAGATGCATCGATCTTAGGCTAGAAAATGGTCTACTTTTTTATTCAATTTGTCTTCCATTTCTTCTCTAGTTAATTCTCAGTTTTTCCCTCTCAATTTTTATCTATTTATTCCTGACCAGTGTTGCCAACTGCGGATCGCTGGAGACAGATGACCCCCAATTGTCCTGGTGAGACACACAGACATCAAACTATTATGAAATTTTCTGGACAAAACGAGAAAAGTCAGGGGCGTATCATACCAAAATTTCAAATTTATCAAATGAAAAATGAACTTATTGGAAATTAATGAATATCAACTAATTAGTCATAAATGCACCTTTTAATATTTTATTTATTTTCTGGAAAACTATCTAAAGGAAAATTATGAAATTTTCTGGACAAAACAAGAAAAGTCAGGGGCGTATCATACTAAAATTTCAAAATTTTCCAGTGAAAAATAACTCCATTAGAAATTAATGAAAATCAACTAAATTAGACATAAATGCAACAATTTATTTTTTTTCTAGAAAACTATCCAGGGGAAAATTATGAAATTTTCTGGAAAAAAAAAGAAAAGTCAGGGGCGTATCATGCTAAAATTTCAAATTTTTCAAATGGAAAATAACCCTATTGGAAATTAATGAAAATCAACTAAATTAGGCATAAATGCACCATCTAACATTTTATTTTTTTTCTGGAAAACTATTCAAGGGAAAGTTATGACATTTTCTGAAAAAAAAAGAAGAAAGTCAGGGGCGTATCATAGTAAAATTTCAAATTTTTCCAGTGGAAAGTAACTCCATTGGAAATTAATGAAAAACAACTAAATTAGGCATAGATGCACCATCTAACATTTTTTTTTTTTTCTGGAAAACTGTTCAGGAGAAAATTATGACATTTTCTGGAAAAAAAAGGAAAGTCAGGGGCGTATCATAGTAAAATTTCAAATGTTTCAAATGGAAAATAAAATAACCGTATTGGAAATTGATGAAAATCAACTAAATTAGGCATAAATACACCATCCCACATTTTATTTTTTTTCTGGAAAATTATTCAAGGAAAAATTATGACATTTTCTGGAAAAAAAGAAGAAAGTCAGGGGCGTATCATAGTAAAATTCCAAATTTTTCAAATGGAAAATAACCCTATTGGAAATTAATGAAAATCAACTAAATTAGGCATAGATGCACCATCTAACATTTTATTTTTTTTCTGGAAAACTGTTCAGGAGAAAATTATGACATTTTCTGGAAAAAAAGAAAGTCAGGGGCGTATCATAGTAAAATTTCAAATCTTTCAAATGGATAATAAAATAATCGTATTGGAAATAATGGAAATTAATGAAAATCAATTAAATTAGGCATAAATGCACCATTTAACATTTTATTTTTTTTCTGGAAAACTATTCAAGGGAAAATTATGATATTTTCTGAAAAAAAAGAAGAAAATCAAGGGCGTATCATAGTAAAGTTTCAAATTTTTTCATTGGAAAATAACCCCATTGGCAATTAATGAAAATCAACTAAATTAGGCATAAATGCACCATCTAACATTTTATTTTTCTTCTGGAATACTATTCAGGGGACAATTATGACATTTTCTGGAAAAAAAAGGAAAGTCAGGGACGTATCATAGTAAAATTTCAATTTTTTCCAGTGGAAAGTAACTCCATTGGAAATTAATGAAAATCAACTAAATCAGGCATAAATATACCATCCAACATTTTATTTTTCTTCTGGAAAACTATTCAAAGAAAAATTATGACATTTTCTGGACAAAACGAGAAAAGTCAAGGTCATGTCGCCGCTCCAGAACAACATCGTCGTAACTGCGAAACCGTAAAATGTTCAGGAACAGGAAAATAAAATTCAATTTTAGTGGAATTATGTATCGTAAGAAGCCTAATTAATGATGTCTATGAAATTATTGGTATGCATAATGTTGAGAGGGTAGTTTCCAATACAGTGAAGGAATTTTTGTTTACAGTGGAGGATGAATTAGATTTTGCAGTTACGTCTTTTTTCTCTGAAATAAATAAATAAATGAAACATTTGCATCCAGTTTTTACATCATTTTTATTAGAACTTTTCAACATTTTCTCCACTCTTACAAGTTAAACACAAGATGTAGGCACAAACTAGGTAGGTACCTAATAAAAAAATCAACTCGAAAACGACATTTTTATAATTTTCTTAATACTAATATTGCAAAAGAAACTTGAAATAAACACTCTTTCGAAAATACTAACTCCAAAACAAAATAAAAAAATTACTCACACAAAATTAAGGCACATTCTATCTAACAAAATAATAAGAACGTATAGGTACCTAATATTCTAAATTGAATTAGCTTGTGACAGCGTCAAAAAAATGCCTATAAAACGCGGGAATTATCTTGCTGTCAATCAAGCTTTTCAAATCTCTTCTTTTATTCTCTGATAATTGAAATTTTTTGGAATAAGCTTTCTTAATTTTTATGTTTTCGTAGTTTTGTAAAGTTGATGAGCGTCTTCTTTTAGGTCTAAAATTAATGCAGCTCCATTCATTTTGTTTATAACTCGTTTTGTACCGAAATATTTCATTTCCTTTATCAAATTGCAAAATTTTGACATCGTTTATTTTAAACTCGTTTCCCTCGACATTTTTAATAAAGCTTAGACCCATTTCTTCAAATAAAGTTTTTAAATCATAGAAATCTTCAAAACCCATTTCTACGACTTCTATAGGATTTCCTTTCTTTTTCGAATTTCGAATAATGGAAATGTACTGATCCGGTATGTAGATTGGTCCTGACTTTTTTGACCTTTTCAGTGATCTTTCGATTATGCTATGGACTGCATCCCCCTCATTTTGTGTATGACCCCGTATAAGATATTTATGTGTAATTGAGTTAATTTGAAATCGCTCTAAGGCATACAAATACGCTGCAATCAAAAACCTAAAACGATAATAAATTATTATGAAAGCAGCTTCTTATTTTTTGGTACACAAATATTGCAATCACTTGCCTATTTTTCTGTTGCCCACCGCAATTATCAGAATAGAAGACTACGTCTAGGCCTGGTCGAATTTTCGAAAGTTCTTCTAAATAAATTAAAACACAAGATCCAATTTCTATAGCACCTATATTACCAAGACCTTCGTGCCAAAAAAAGGATTTGGTCCTGTCATTTGTTATTTCTGTTATCTAAAAAAAATGTTATGTAACCCAAAAAGTTTGATTTGTAAATCAACAAATTGAACTTACCGTAAAATTGTAACAATTCAATCGGGACTTGTAGAAGAAGGCAGATGTTTGACCTATGGGTACCGGCAACACTGCCTGTAAATCGTATACAGCAAGAGTAA